TTACGTGGCCATTCATGGAACCCCGAAGCCGAGGTTGGAGTTCCAGGGGAGTGATGGCTACCTCAAGAAGCAGTGGCGTTTGATTGCCAAGGGTGAGCTGGGCTACATCCCGGCAAAACACATCGTGAGCGCGCTCCCGGAAGAAGGGGAACGCCCCTCATCCACCCATAAGAAGATCACGGTGGACGGCTGGGACAGGGAGGATGAAGAAGAGGTGAGGAGCCACCCCACATCTCGGCGCCAGTTGGAACGTTTGCACCAAACTTTTAGGACGACGCTCCTGATGTGCACGGCGGCGCTGCCACAGTTTGGCAACCTGAAGGTCACCAAGGCGGAGCTGGACGATTGGTATGACTGGTTCTATGGGGAGGACATCGCTGGCAGAAGGCCACCACCTTGCTGTTTGCAGAGCGCAATGCGTGGAGGAAGATCCACGAGATGGTGCACCAGGGCACCACCCTCTCCGATGCCCTCAAGAATATCAGGGGCGACTTCCTCTTCTGGCAACGAGAGGTCTATGAGCACCTCAACAGGGCGCCGGAGAAGGGGAAGAACAAGGGCAAGGCACCTAAGGTGTGGCAGACTCAGTGGGAGAAGCCGAAGAAGGGGGGGAAAGGCGCCTGGCCCTCGGGGCCGACCCGGTCCAAGCCGAAGGGCAAGGGCGGCAAGGGGAAGTCCCCCAACTCCCCCTCAGTTCCATGGCCGGACCACTGGGCTTTCAAGAATCCCAAAGGGGTGGCGTACTGCAGAGATCATCACCTCCACAACAAGTGTTCGGGATCGTGCGGCCGTTCCCACAACTGCCCGGTCAGGAAGGATGGGTGGGTGTGTGATGCCCCCCCATCGAAGCATGCGCCACAGGCATGCCCTCACCTTCCCAAGTGACAGGAGGCCACCCAGGGTGCCATAGGCCCCGTGGCTTCCCAGTCTCAGTTGGGATCACAGGCCACCAGTGCGAGAGTGCACACAGAGGGGGAGAGCCAGCCCCTCCAGAGCCACAGCGGAAGGCAGACAGAGCGGGGGAGGCCAGGACGGCCTCAGATGGGGGGGGACTTCTCCAGGGTGCCAAGCCCCTCCACCGAGAAGAGGAGCGGTCCCAGCCAGGGCACTCCAGAAGGGCGGAAGCATCCCTTTCCCCCGCACCCACCGAGGCAGTGGGAAGACCCCCCAGAGAGACCCAGAGGTGAGGATCCGCCCAGCAAGGGGCGTTCCAAGGGCGGGAAGAACCGCCAGGGCAAGCATCAAGCCCGGGGACAGATGACGGGGGGATCAGACAAAGGTCACACGGAATCCCTAGGGGGGGCAAGCCCCACCTTCCCATGGATGCAGGACATCCCGGAAAGACTGAGGCTCAGACTGGGGTGGACGCCGAGGCCAGGCCGGGGTCTTCAAAGCCGTCCCTCATCCTGCTGTACGCTGGGAAGGATGATGCGGGGGCCCTGGATGCCTACCTCCATGCCTACAACCCGGCCTTCTCGGAGTACATTTGGGCGGTGGATATCAGGAGAAAGGGTGGAGACCTGGGCCAGGACATGCTGGGCGAGGAGCCTTACTCGACGATGTGCTCCATGGCCATGGCGGGCAAGGTCGCATTGGTGGGAGGTGGCCCCAACTGCAGGACGTGGAGCATCCTCAAATGGTTCCCCAACCCGGGTGGCCCGCCGCCGGTGAGGGGCAGAGCAGAGCAGACCTTGTGGGGCTTAGAGGACTTGGAGCCCCGGGTTATGGAGGACACGGACAATGACAGCGTGCTCATGCTCCGTCAGATGTACCTGACCTCGCTGGCCTACAAGGGGCTAGGACAGCTGACGGTCCCGCAGGTTGGCTCCTCTTTCCTGGAGCACCCGATGGACCCGATGGAGTGCAGCAAGAGCCCGAGCGCAGCGAGGTGCTCTTCGATCTGGGTCACGCGGGCCTACGTTCAATGGGCAAATGCACTCCACCACTCCCTCATCAAGTTCGATGAGTGCCGCCTGGGCCAGGTGGTTGTGAAGTCCACGGCATTGTCAACGGACCTTCCTCTCCACCATTGGCATGACCTGCGTTGCAACCACGGGTCGCACCCCAGGGGAGAAAAGCTCAACTCCAGTGACCTCAGCCGGTACCCGGAGCAGATGATGCAGGGTCTAGCAGCGGCCATCCTTTGCCGAGCGGGACCCGTCCTGGAGGCGCTGAGGCCGGGGGGCATGGCGCCCCAGGCTAACCCAACGACCCCCCCGAAACGTCCAAGGGAACCTTCTCCCAGCACGCCGGGGGACAACAAGCGCCAGCCCCGGAGGCTGAAGGCGGGCCAACAAGCGTTGGCAGGTCTGACCTTGGGCTCACTTCCGGTCTCGGCCTCGGATACTCCAGAGGCTGGGACATCGACACAGAGGACTGGCGAGGTGGAGGAACTTGGGGGGGGAACTTTTCCCCTGGATCCATGGGCGCACCAGGGCATGGAGATTTCGGATCGGCCTACCATCCTGCCGATCACACTCACGACCCCAATCTCTCCGACAAGGTCATGTACCTCCAGATGGCTTTCAAGCAGCGTCCCTTAAGAGACGGTGGAGGAAAGCCCTCATTGGGACGGTTGGCCCCGTGGGCCCGACCGCTGTCCAAAGCAGCAGCGCTGGGGGCCAAGATCTGTGTCCTCACTGCGCCGTGGGGGGACAAGCTCCAGGAGTCGCTCTCGTTGGGGGATGGGTCACATCCCTTCCCGGAGGACCTGCTGGAGGACATCAGGGAGATTCTGGCGCTGGGGGCAAGCCGACCAGCGGACGGCCAACCCTTCTTCCTGGACATCTTGCACAGCGTGGCTCTGAACATTCAGGACCCCGACCACCAGTTTCCCCGCGACCTGGAGCAAGGGGTCCCGCTGGGGGTCACTGGCCACTCAAGAAAGAGCTGAAAGGGGAGGAACCGGAGTTCCAGGAACTCCCCCACCCAACGGGCAGGGGTAACTACCCCTCGGCGGATCACTTCAGCGAGCTCATCCGGGGCACATTTCTGGAGGAGGTCCCCATGGGCATGGTGGAGGGCCCCTTCAGTAAAGAGGCGGCCGCATCGCGATGTGGCTGCGACAGCGAGGACCTTTGCCCCGGCCCCCTGGCGGGCATCGACGAGGGGGACAAGATCCGCACGATCTACGATGGCTCGGTGGGAGGGGCCAATGACACCATCAGGAACCAGACGGTGGAGAGGACGACGGCTCCGACGGTGTTGGATGGGGTCCAAGCTCTCCATTGGCTACATGCGGCAGCCGAGGAGGGACCCCCCTCTCAGGGTGCCTCTGGCCCCGAGGGGGGGATCGTCAAACCTCCACCTGGGGGCTGGCTATGGCCGGAGCCGGGCACCAGGTGGGTGCTGCTCAAGGCGGACGTCACCAAGGCCCACCGGAGAGTGAAGGTCCTCAGGAAGGACTGGCGGTTCCAGGTGGCCTCACTGGGGGAAGAATGGTGGGTGAACAAGGTAGGCACATATGGCATGGCCAGTGCCCAATCCTACTGGGGACGCCTGGCAGCCCTTCTGCTCAGGGTCCTCTACGCGCTTTTCCCCCAAGTGGATTGGAACTTCGTCTTCGTCGACGACTTCCTATGGCTGCTTCGAAGTGAGGGGGCAGTGAACTTGGCGGTGGCGCTGCTGGCCACACTCCTGGCATTGGGCACCCCACTTAGCTGGAAGAAGACGCACTTGGCGGAGGTTAACACGTGGCTGGGCTTCGTGGTCCACCCGAACATCCCGCAGGTTCTCATGGCGGCCAACAAACACATCCTGGTCATGGAGGTTTTACAGACCATGGTGGAAGGGCAGGCGATGCACTCGAAGGACATCGAGAAGGCCCTGGGCCGCATCCAATGGGCAACGGCCGCATGTCCGCTGGCGAAATCGATGCTCCAGCCACTTTGGGCCTGGAAGATGGCCACCACCACGGTGGGGAAACCCCCTAAGGTGGTCAGGATGCTGGCGTTCATGCTGCGGTTCCTCTTCAACACGCCTTTCGTCCAGTACTCCCCCTACTTGCCGAAGTCCTCTTGGTGGGGTTGCAGCGACGCTAGCGCCTCGGACGACGGACTGGCATTTGTGGGAGGTTGGTGCTCCAACACGGTGGAACCGGACAAGAAGGAGGTGTACTGGTTCCATGAGCAGATCCACGTGGAGGAGTACCCTTGGGCTTTCAAGAATGGGGATCCAAAGCGGAGGATTGCAGCTCTGGAGATGCTGGGCACGCTCTTCCTCTGTAACATGATCCTCACGCACCAAGGCCCTCTGTCCTCCCGGGTCCGACTCCCGGTGGGCAGTGACAATCAGGGCAACGTCATGGCGATGCTCAACCTTGGATCCAAGAAGCCCTACACGGCGGCGATCCTGATGGAGCTGGTCTTCCTGCTCCACACCCATGGCTGCTCGCTGGCGGCCAACCATGTGCCCCGTGAATTCAATCAATGGGCTGATGAGCTGACGCACCCAGATTTCTCTGGGTTTGACCCTGCATTTGATCTCAGCGTGGGCCCACCCATGCTCCCGTGACCGGAGCCGGTGGGTGACTCACTTCCCCTGGTGGCAGACCCCCCTGTGGCCTGGGTGCCACGGGCCCCGGCTCAGGGCGGGCGCTATCAGTCTGCACACCCGTTCTTCAGTTTTTGAGAATTGTGAGTTGGGTGGCCCATGGGGCCCACCCAGCGTTGGTCATCTGACAGGGGAAGATGAGTCCCTGGCACCAACACACTGCTCGGATGAAAGAGTTATCGCGTGCTCGTGTGTGGTGCCGTTTGGTTAGCTTGCATACACAGACGGATATTACAATCTTAGTGCCAATCGCAACAATTGTGGTACAAAATCTTTGTTGTCAACAGGCAGACATGAAGCTGCCGATAAGAGGGCTCGCTGCCAGATTTCAGGTACCCCTTAACTGGTGGTTTGGGGATTTGAACCCCTGCTTCTAGCGAGTAACTTCAAAATCACTCCTTAACCACCAAACCACCAATCCACACCACCAATTGCAGGGAAGCTGCTAGGTTCGCCACATTGGTCAGGTGCCGATGGAGGAGGACCTGTCGAAGCCATTCTTAGCCTGTGTCACGCGACCAATTGCTTTAGGGAGTATCCCATGTCATGGATAATTAACAGGTTCCACTAGCAGAAGGGCGGCCTTTCTGCGCAAGCGTTGATCCAACCTGGGGTCTTCTCCGTTCTTTTTTTTCGGCTGTGGGGTTACTGTAGCCTAAACGGACACCAAAAGAAAACCAACATTTTGAGGGTTCCCCTGATTTTTCGTGTACCCCGCAGATAAACCAAGGATAAAAGGTGTCCTCAGGGCCATTCCACAATCCTCGAGGACTATCCTCCAGCCATCCCAGCAGCAACAGGCCCGTGGCAGTTGCAAATACTGCGGATGGTTGCGAAATTCGTTTGCACCACTTTGAAACCAACACGTTTGTTGGTATTTACAGGGAAATAATCAGAAACCAGGGTTTCTTTAGGTGTTGCCAAATGGTTTTGCCCACCCACAGTATGACACTTGACGTGCCAGCATCCGAACCCGCTTCGTTTCACGTTGAAAGGAAGCCGAGGTTTGCAGATGTGAACATCCCCTGTATCAGTGACATGCCAATCTGCGTCTTGCCGCCATTCTTTACCTGCAGCTTGCCATCTCCACTTAACTCTCCCAAAGCAGGTGCGATGGGGAATACCTTTACGGATCGATCGCGGGGCCTTTTCGATCGACTCGACACCTTGAATCCAGGCTGGTTTCCCTTTTTGGAACCTCCAAAAGTGGGCGACTCAATGGAAACCAGCAGTACATTGATCCACTTTTTGACAAATCCCAGTTTAACGTAATCAAATGACTTTTTTGACTCGGGTCAACAGGTTTTTGGTCCAAATGGCACTTGGGCCCATTGCCTGGACCCGGCCTTGATTCGACGAAAAAACGAAAACCCTTGGAGGGGCGACACATCTGCACTGCCCAGGCTCCGTGCCGGTTCCAGCGGCCAGGATCCTGGTTCGCTCGGGGGGCGGGAAACGCGCCCTTTTTGTTGGTATCTCCGTCCCGAAGTCCAGCTCATTCCCAACACCCGGACGGGCATTCCCAACCTGTAGACCAGTTTAGTGGTAGACAGTTTCAGGACTTTTTCTGCCCAATCCACTCAAGAAGTGAGGAAAGGGGACCCATTTTGTTGATGGTTTTAAGGGAAATGAAAAGGAGCACCATCTTGGGAGGGTACCCTGCAAAAAGATTGGTCTATTTTCTTGCTGCTGCGATAGGTAGAACTGGAAGGGGATTCCCTTAAAGGACACCACAAGGGATGGTTTGTGGGTGTCATTCCCTCAGTCCCTGCTGAGAACCAGTAGGTGTTTTTAAGGGTACCCTTTCTTGGTGGTTTGAAAGGGGCACCAAAAGGAACACCACATGTTATTTCCATTTTTGTTTGGGGGGGGGGGAAGCGGGGGGCGGGATACCCTAGAAAAAGACAGACCCATGTGGGGCAGCCGCAAGCAGCCCACATCTCCAACCCCCCAGAATAGTTTGTGTGTCCCCCCGCTGTCTCCGTCTCGCAACCCGAGCAACGCGCTGAAGGCCGAGAAGCCCGCGAAGCCAGAGAAGGAGGTGCCGCGCGAGAGTGCTTCGATCTCGAGTGGGGCCGCCCTTTGTTTCGCAGGTTTAGCCTGTTTGATTCGTTGGTTGGGCGGTTTCCGAATTTGATTGACCCACGGAAAGTTAGTCACTAGTAGCAGGGGATCTGAACACGGACAGCCCAGTTTTGTTTAGAAACGATATGCACCTTTCTGAACGTCAAGTTGTTCAGAAGCAGGACACGTGCAACGTGAATCAACCGGTGGCGTCAATTTGGAGTTTCCACTGGTCAAAAGACAAAGCCGTCCTCATGTGTCCTCCCCACAAGAGGCTCGGGCAGCACTGGCTGCCAGTTGCGACTTGCTCCGATTTGCGGCCAGGAGAAGCGAAGAGATCGAAGCCGCAGTAGGCAGGGCGTTCTTTTTTTGTCACATGGGAAGGTGTCAAGAAAACAAACATGTTTGGAAGGTGCTAGAAAAGAATCAGCATCCTTCCAGACTTGTCCAACTGCCTTTCAAACCAAAAAGGGGCCGCGCGGCAGTAGCTGACTAATTTGTGCCGGATCCGCACGAGATCCGCAGATCGCTGGTGCATTGGACGGAGGAAGGATCGCTTGGGGGCTCCTTGCAAACTCCTTTTCGGAGTTTCTGGTTCCTGGCCTTCTCGCCCTATGTTCAATCCGAGCAGGAGAGATGGGACCTGAACCCTCAAGCAGAGTTTGGCCGGCATGTCAACTTGTGCGCTCGTGCAGGCGGCAGGATCGCGACAGGGACCATCGGGACAAGGAGTCCTCGCGTTGACACGCTCATATTTCAACCTCTTGATGCCATGCCTCCACGGAAATTCCTTTTGACATGTGTAGCCTTTACCTTTAAAGGGGAACACGGTATTTTTCGACTGGCGCCAGCAACAAGCGTTTTTGTTTTTTTGCGCCGGGTCGCCACCAAGTCGTGCTGAGAAACCTCTTTAGTCGAGGAGCGCCGATCCCGTGGAAGAGGTCGAGATAGAGACCGCCGGTCTCGGGACTGTGGGTCGATGCTTGTACCGGTGGATGCCAACTTAATATTGCAAGGGGACACAAGGACAACTCGATCCCTAATTTACCAGAATGTCCCATGGCTTTGGTGGGGGCGGTTGGTGTACTTGCAATATTTAGAGCATCCGCCGTATCATGGTGGCTATATGCCAGTCGCGGCTCGAGCCATTTCGAGCCGCTCACTTGCTATCGCTTGGGCTGCCAGAATCGCCAGAATGCCTCAAGCTGCTCATGCCAAGCCAGGCGTTGCTTCAGCGAAGTGTCATTGGGTCGCCCAAACCTTTCGATCAAGCCTTGTAAGTACCCTTTGTTCATTTAATGAGCCCTGCATAGTTAAGCAATACTTAGCTTTTCTGAGTTGACAGTTACAACTCCTTTGCCCACTTTGCAGCTGGCGGTCTCAAGATGTCTGAAGTGAAGAACCTGGCAGGACCGGTCGCGTGAGCGGTCCAAGAGATCCGGGGGAAGGCAGGGGCTTTGTCAGACTCTTGTTTTTGCAGGGGAAGGGAGAACTTCTGAGTGTCTTTGACAGCATCTCCGCGAAAAGGAGTTCGGAGTTTTCTGGAAGTTCCTTTGTGTCTCAAGGAAGCCTTTGTTTGCTTGCTTGCTTGGTTGTTTGTTCGTTTGTTTGTGCCATGTGCTCGAAATCTAGCAACAAAAACAGGCCAGAGGCTGACGTGCCCGTCGTTTCGCGCTGGTGGAAGCCCGTCGTTTCGCGCTGGTGGAAGCCCGTCGCGAACCGCGGGGTGTTGGAGGGCTTGCGCTTTGATTGCACCGCCGAACTCGGCACGTTCCACGGAATGAATGCCTGTTGGCCTCGACGCGTGGCTTTGTTTTTCTGTGGCTTGGGGAAGTGAACTCCTGGTCCTTGTGGCTTGGGTAAATGGGAAACCTCCCCTTCCAAACCTCCCAATTGGAGGTCAGCTGAGATCGGGTTTCTGTGCTTTGGGGGTAGGTCAGACCGTCGAAGACGGGACGGCTCTAGGGCTGAGCCCTCAGAGTTGGGTGGATGGGCCGAAGCCTTGAGGGCCCCCCCCCCCCAAGCCTCCCCCCCCCCCCCAGCCCCATTTTTGGTGGTTTTTAACGGGAAACCAATAGCAAAGCGGAGGCCAAAGACAGGCACCTCAAAAGTGGGTGGTGGGCGCGAATTTGCGCCGAGTCTTCTTTTTGCGGCACCCCCCTCCACTCCCCCAACCCAATCTGGCAGTTGTCCCTTTGGCTTTGCCTTAAACCGAGAAAAAAAGAAAAAAACAGAGGCCGGCCTCAAAACACGAGACCCGCGCCGCAAGACAGGGGTCTTGCGACTGAGGAAGCGCCCAAGCCGGTAGACCCAGGCACCTGGGAATCGGACTGGCGTCGGCGAGCGGCCCATCTAAGGCTTCCATGACCATGGCTGGGGGGGGTGCCGGACCTCTACCATGTATACTAGGTCCCCCCAGCGATTGGTGCCCTTTTACCGTTTCGTTTTTGGTGGGGAGGGTTCGGGTTCCCCTACTAAAATAGACTACAGCAAAAAAGGGAATACCCGTATTCTAACCTCTCTACTGGAGGACTTAGTATATGCAAGGTACGTCCCACCCAAGGGCATTTGGGGGCCGAACGAAATTCGGATCTACCCCGAAATAGAAGGGACTAAGGACGTGTGTCACCATTTGAAAGATATCTTGGTACTCGTAGCCATGTGAAGCATTCTGCTTGAACGAGGCGTCATGCTTGAAGACTGTAGTTTCAAGCGGTTTGTAGCCATGGTTCACCTAAGCTCCATGGTCATGGTCGGTATCACAGTGCTCCACAACTTCCATTGGCTTAAGAATACTTTACATTTCCCCTGTTTGTTGTAAACCAAAACTATATTGTGCAGAGGGTTCTTTTGCAAACAGAGGATAACAAACAACCACAGGTTGCTACCACTTAATTGTCGCCCACTTTCATGTACCCTGCCCCCTCACAGTGGCGCCAAAACCGACGCCGCCCGCTGGCAGGTGGGCCGCCGCCGCCCCCAGACGCCCCAGACGCGCCAGACGAGCCGCCGCCGGCGCCGGCGCCGGTGCCGGCGCTTCCGGCGCCGGACGCGCCCGCGACGGCGCCCAAGGCGGGAAACGTGGATCTATGGAGTCCCTGGTTGAAGGGGGTTGTCCCAACGCTCCCAAAGGAACTTCAAGGAACCCCAAGCAAAAACCCCAAGGCTCCCTTCTGAACCCTTAGGAGTCGCAAGCCTAAAAGAACCCTGAAAACAAACTCAAGGGAAGCCGAAGGAGCCCTGGGGCTCTCAACTACCTATCCTTCTACCGCCCTTACAGTTTCCAGACTGGGGTGGGGTTTTGCTTTTTCTGAAGGTAGCCTTAAGTCAGGAAAGTTGGTTTGGATTGGTGGGGTTGCGGATTTGCCTTTGGGAAGCCATCAAGATGTCCCTAGGTTTTTGGGTAGATTCCAACAAGGATCCCTAAGAAGTCGGGTAACCCTTAGTTGGTGGTTTGGATTGGTGGTTTGGGGTGTAGAGGGTATAGCAGCAACTAGAGGGTAGCTGATCAAGGGTGCCCTTTTCAGCTCAGTTTGAAGGGCCAAAAGGAAAGCATGCCCAAATACCAGGAGCTTACCCACCGACAGCACCAGATTGGAGGATTGCTTTCGCAAAGCCTGGTTGCTTTTTGCATTGACCCAACATATGGATGTGGCTCAAAATTAAGCGATCGGAGGGGCAAAGCCATGGAGTTCACCCATAGCTTCGGGAAGCGATCGGAGATCGCAGAACAGCACAGAACAAAGACCTGCCACTTTTTGGCATCAGGCGCCAAGCGCGCGACGTTGAGCTGTGCTCGATGGTCGCACATCTCAAACCCATGCGTTGCCATTTTGGCAAGCCATCGGGAAGTCAACTGTGGCCCCTTCTCATGGGATCCGCTGGAGGTACCAAACCTTTCACAAACCCCGGTTACTTCCCCCAGTCTTGATGCGATTGGTTTGCCGGAGACGGGTTTCCACGATGCTCACTCGGGTGTTCGGCCAAGTTGGTAAGTTGTTGGTCACCTAGGTTGTAAGTCCCCTGAAGTGGGGCAACCTTGTCATTCGCGGATGAAAACACCCGAGTGGCAAACTACCCTCCCACCGACTAGCATGGAAGTGCACAGACCCTAGGAAGACAGTTTTCCTGCCACACACCCATGGCAGGTGGGAGGGGTAAACTTAACTTGGCCGAAGTCATCCAACCAGTGCCCTCAGGCTTCTGGCGCCAAGTCGTCCGCATCCCAGTTTGAGGCGCGGCAGGGTTGTGTCACTTCGCCGCATGTCTTTCTTTTTTTTTCTGGACAAGCAATACTGTGGGTGGTTGCGAGATCCATCCAACGCACCACCGTTCAGAAACCCCAAAATGATGACTCCCCGGCAAGTACCAACAAAGAATGGTTTCACATGATTGCAAAGTGACGCAGGATTTTGTCCATCCACAGTATTGATGGGCGTGTCTGTTTTGGGGACACGCCTGTGGTTAGGTTCAAGGGAAAACCAAAAGCAACACCACCGTTTTCGGGGTTGCCTCGTTTCCAGACAACCCCATTCGAAAAAATACAAAAGGAGTGAGCCGGCCGATTTGGGCGGTTTCACGGAGCGAAGACCCAATGCTTGAGGCCGTGCCACAAACAGACTGGTCTTGCAAAGGTTCCTCGTCTTTGAATTCCAAGGCGCCGAACCTTTGTTTGTTTTTTGTAGGGGGGGAGAACAGGAAGGTTCCTGCAGATTCCGATGTTGGGGCGGGGGGTACACTTGATCAAGTCAATGAATGCAAGGGCTTGAAAGCTGCCAGTGACAGATATGACCCAGACGCTTCGACTTGGCTAATATGAGGTATGGTCAAGGTGCTGTGTTAATTGCCAGCACTTGCATGACTGAAAGCGCACTCTCGCCGAAGGAGCTGACACAACGCAGCATGCGCCACATGCGAGCGTTGTCTGGGGCTTCAACCGGTTCTTCCAATCTCGCGAAATTACACTGCATGCTGGGAACTGCTTCTTGCAGAGTCCGAGTTCCATCAGAATCCAGCATGTCTTGCTTCTCATATATGAGCTGGGTCAACGCAAGGCCGCCCTTCCTACACAACAGCGGCCGTATCGATATGGCAAAAAGAAACCCTGGGAGATCCTCAAAATGGGAGGCCCCCTTTTGGTTAGTATGAAACCGACGGGACATTCCAAGGACTCGACCTTTGAGACCTCCGCATGCGCTGACTTCAGGAGATGATGAAGCGGGTCACTGCCTTTGCCAGGGAGAAGGAGCAGACCTACGAGGAGGGGAGACCGGCAGCGCGAAGAATTCCGGCGCGTTGAATTCGAACTGCCGAGAATTTGAATGACCCATGAAAAGCTGTTGCACCAAAATGTGAAGCAATGGTAGGCTTCGTTGTTGGAACACCTGTTGATAGAGTCCGGATGTGCAGTTGGATATCCCCATCCGAGAATGAATATGTAAAGAGGGGGAGGGGGGTCAGGTCATACCGCGTAAAAGCCGGAAGGGCCCTCGTTTGCGCAGCTTGTGTGCCATGGAGAGCCCTAGTTTGCCCGAATTTGTGCTTTTGGACAGGTGATTTGGACAGGTTTCAGGTGGCCCAGGCTACAAGCTAATGGATTCGAAGGAGCGCGTGGCGGAGTGCCGCGCAAGAGAAGAGGCGCTTGGAATTGACTTCCTGGTTGCTCGCTGGGAGCGTTTGTGGGCTTGTTTTAAAAGGGAAACCCAAAAAGGGAACCCAACTTCTTTTTTGGCGGGGGTCTCCAAAAATAAGACATACCCAGCTGTCCAAGAATCAAAGTGGACAATGCTTCTCGATCCCTAGTTTGACACGTCCCCAATTTGCCATGGGCAGTGGCCTTGCCATTTCAGTTGAGAGATTATCAGCCCGAGTCTTTGCAAGACAAAGATATGGCTGTGGGTCAAAACCAATGGTACCATTTTGGGGTAGGTGCACCACCCATGTTAGTCTATTTCAGTGGGGATTGGGATGTTCACTGACTGGGGGTGCGGGATTTTGACCCATGGCCGAGTATGATCAGAGAATGTGTGACACGTCCCATGACTTGCTCAGGCGGAGAGGAAAAAGAGAGAGGAAGACGAGGAGGAGGAGGCTCCAAGCAACGCGAGACACATCCTTTGCCCGGCAATCTCGAGCCTGTAAGCCACAACTCTCAGTCCCAGGCGAAGAAAAAGAAAGAGGAAGAAGGCGAGCGCTCACAGGACCTTGGGCTGTGCAATCAAAATGAATGGTTGCCATTGCTTTGTTGCCAAAGGCCCTGTTTATGTCATTTGCGGCACGGGCTCAAAACCCGGGTAGATGAAGAAGAGTAAAGGACGATCCCAGCCAATAGCTGCGGATATCCGAATTCCTTACATGGTTCTGGGTAGACCATAGTAGTACCGGGTTTTGATTGTGACTCATATGGTTCGGTCAGGGCAAATCATGCAGAGCTCGCCTGGGGCGAAGCTTCCTTTTGCAGGTGGCCACATGGCCACGTTGTTGGCGACACAAGCTTCACCCGTCAGGAGCGGCAGAAGCCGGAGGCTGGATCCCAGCTTCCATTTGCTGAAAGAAATATAGTTTTTTCCTTTGTTGGTTTTAAAAGGAATTTATCACTACTGGATTTTTGTTTCATTTTTTCCAGGGGTCTCAACCAAATGGAAGCCAGTGATCACTGATGCCCCCTGCTTTGCACAGCCAAGACGGCCTTGGGGTAAAAGTAGATGGCGCAATGACTCTTCATGTTGGCTCAGGCAAGCAGACAAGCATATGGGTGTGGCTCAAAATTAAACGATCGGAGGGGCAAAACGCAGGTTTTGGTCCATGTTTCCACTTACCAGAGCAAACCAATTTGGAGCGGCTTCCGCGATCTGTTGTTGCCAAGCAGTGGTAAGTGAGTTTTCTTAGTGTGTGTGTGTGTGTGCCCAAGTGTGTGTTTGGGTTCCAGGAAATGGTCAAAGCATTCTAGTGGGGGCAACTGTGATACCCTTGAACTTTTCCCGCAGATTGCTTGACCTCATGAGTCCATGCCCTTGGGATGCGGGCACGCGCTCACGGTCGGTGTGTGCTTCGAACGTTGTATTCCTTCGGCGGTGCTCTGAGTGTTTGGGGGTGCTTTTGGAACTGTTAAGGAATCACATTCGCGTGGGTCTTTTTATTGGGGGGGGACCCCACAATGGCGGGGTGTTCCTTTGGTTTTCCTCTTTTTCCCACAAAACAGGTACCTCCCAAAAAGACACACACACACACACATTCATAGGTGTCCTTTTTGGTTGGTTTGCTTCAAAAATAGAGGCCCTGGTTTAGATGGGGTTTCTTCCATTTACCAGGGCCATCTATTTTTTCCAAAAGGCCACCTATGCACACATTTCTTTGCGCGGAGTCCTGGCCTCTGGTTTTGCCTCGCTTGCTGAGCCCGGCAGGCTTCTGCTGAAGGCGGGAAGGGCTCGGTTGATAGGTGCCGAAACGGATGTGGATGGAGTCCCTTGTAGACCAACCTTTTACTTCGCCGGAGTTATTTTTGGAGTCCCCTTGTTTTCTACTAACCAGGCAAAACAACTTAGTTTTTTGCTGGGGTCCTAATTCCAGCCAAGTTTAGACCGCCTTGTTGGAAGCCTTAGATGACGGAGTGGAGAAGCACAACAGCTGATAAGCCCGCTTGGCCCCAAGCACGTTGCAATCGACGGCCAATCCATGCGCCAGGATCCGCCACGTCTCAGGCAGGATGCACGCACTTGTCATGTGGGGGCTGATCAATAGTCCGTTCGGCCCCAAAATGACCATGGGTAACCTGTCCAATTTCGTGGTGGTGAAACTCATCTTTTTTGGTGGTTTCCCTAGTGGTCATCCCATGTCGATAGTTTAAGTCCTCGTGCTTCTTGTTCAGGCGTGGCATATCATGCTGGCACAGGCGGACCTATGTTCTGCCAGTCTACTTTAGTTCGGTCCGTGAACATATGCGTGAACTGGCTATTGATTTCCCTCAGCCGGTAAACCTTTAAAAGGGAAGGAGAGGGATGCTAGGGCTACTCCTGAGTGTGGAATGCATGAGTTCCAAGTCGTGGGAGGGTTGTCCTTACTTCTTCCATCCACAATTATTTCCTTCCATTGCTTAAGACGTTTTTGCCCTTGTTGGTTTTAAAAGGAACATATCGCTACTGGGCATATTTCCTCATCTTTTCCAGGGGTCGCTCACCACATGGAAGCTCATCCAAAACGCCTCAGCTTTTGCAGGGCTCGCCGGGTGTGTGTGGGCCCCAGCAAGGGCAGCGCGTTTGAGCTCATGGCAAACGGGGCCGACAGCTGTGCTCGGTGCATTGGTTGCCACAAGCTCAGCTTGTGGCAAAGGGATGCATCGGTTTCCTACAGATGCCCTTTGTTACAGCATGCTATGAGGAGAATCTTACTGGGTTTCGCGTTGCCATGTGGATGAGTGTTCTTTTGAGGTACCAAATTGTAGGTTGGTTTAAAGGGAAGCCAACAACACAGCCCGGCGTCTGGAGCATCCCCCCGCCCCCGCATCTTGACATACCGAGGCCTCCGAAGCAGGGCCGGGTGGCTGAGTGAGGAACTTCTACCTTCCGTTTCTCAGTTGCCCAAAGCGAATCGACCTTTTAACCTTTTGGTTTTCCAATGTTGGTCTATTTTTAGCAAAGGCCCCAAGAGGTCAGCCTTTTATTTCTGGGTCCTTTGGGCGACTGAGATTTCCATTCTTTCCAGGATCTTTCTAAAAACCTCAATACACCCAGGGGAAACGGCCGGTTTTTGAAGAGAACGAGGGTTGAAAAGAATGGGGGATCAAACCCTAGAGGACTGGTCCGGATTGTTGGCACGGGCTGAGCCTTTGAACGAGGATGTGCTTCATGTGGGAAAGTGGCAGCGGTTCTTGGTTGCGAAATCCATCCAACGCGCCACCGTTCGGAAACTCAACAGAATGGTTCGATTCCTCAACGTGAATACCAACAAACAGTGGTTTTCCAAGCAGTGGGGAACTTGCTCAAAAGTGGTTGGTGGACATGAATCCCAACCCAAATGATGTTCACCAAAGGTTTCCCCATTCAAACCCATGCCCTATGACGTGTTGGCATGATGGCACTTCCTTGTCAGAGCAAACATGCGGAGCCTCTTGTCAGTGCTCACATTTCCGGTAGCGCATCATGCTGCTCTCAGTAGATTCGACAGACGTGGTGAACTTGGATTTCCTTCGGGTCAATCGACTCTCATCACCTGGGTGCTGCGTGCGGGGTCTTTCTGCAACAGCCCTATCCCAGGTGCAGCTGCAAAGGCTCAGTGGGGAGCTCAGGCGAAAGGAGAGAGACAGCAGTGGGACCTTGAAATGTCACTCTAGAAAACGGTTTGGATGCGCTTTTTGTGGATTTCACCTGTTCTTCACCCTGTAGGTTCTTATTTAGTACTCTTTAATACTCTCTTAATATCCTAGAGGGGTGCTTCCACAAAAGCCGCATCCAAACCGTTTTCTAGAGTCACTGCTGGCTTTCGAAGGATGGATTAAGAGATAGCATGTGATAGAGATGAAAGCACATTCCCTCACCTTCCAAGTCTTTAATTGGCTTTGTGGTTGAGTCCTTATCCTGTGACTCATTCATAATCCCTTTCCCTTGATTTCCCGTGCATTCCCAAGATCAACTATTAACACGTGGAAAAGAGAAGAAAAAGACAAGGAAGTTAGTGACTCTCCATTCATTCTCTTGTCCTAGCGGCATCCTTCACTGTCAAGCCTGGAATGAAGATATGGTGAAGTCCTATGTGTAAGCGATTCAAATTCCAGATCCTAAAGCAAGAGAAATTAATAAAAGAGAAAGAGATAGCCAGGAGACGGAAATAATGTGACAAGAGATCCAGAATATAGAATGCTGTTCCTTTCATGTCCTTAGGTTATACCGCATGGTCAATGGATTCATCATATTATTGTCTTTTCCTTTGTCAAGAGCTTACGAAAGGACAATAATAAAGAAAAAAGATAAAAAGCATGAGAATTAAAGAGATAAAAAGATAGGAAATACAATAAGATAATGATTAATAGGCTACAAATGGGATTAAGAAGTATCTCCTAGTCGTCTATTATCGTTCTCTCCCGTCCACGATGGAACCGTCGGAGAAGGGCATGAACTTCCCTGGAATGCTATTCCTTACACTTTTATATCTTGTCTTTTTATTAATAATTCTAGTTGATTTTAAGATGATAATTAGATGATAGTAAAGACACATGAAAAAGAAAGAGACATAAAGAAATATAATAAAAAAGACAAGAATAAACAATAAAGATGAAAACATAAATAAAAAGAAAAGATAATGAAGCAAACAAGAGAAAAGAAATACACAAGAAAGCAAATAAAAGACCATGAGATGTGGATGAATGCAGCGCTTGGACTGGTCTCTAAGCCGGAAGGTAACTCAAGACATCTTAACTCAGCCCCAGATGCAACCATTATATTGGTGAGGGCTGAGGAGAGAGGTCGTGGGTTCCTGAGTTATCTTCCTTCTTTCTTTTTCTTGGTTCCCTCGCTGTCTTTTTCACATTGTAACTTTCCTTTCTTAACAGCGAGTGAAAGGCATGGGCTCTCAGCCGTCTATCTCCATTGGCGAGTCACTCAAGGAACTCTCACTCACAGCCAATGGACGGCTTCCAGAGCCTTGACATGCCATTCCTTTCTCTTGTGTCTTTTCCTTCTCTTTGCCATACCTTTCCCTTCCACCACTTCCTTCACTCCTCCTCTCTTCGTTCGGGTGGCTCCGGGAACTTGGCAAAGGAGGAAGACACGAAGGAATGGAAAGAAGAGGAAAAGAATTAGACATCTTTTATACCTTCACCTCTCACCCTCTCTTTTCTATCATATCTTTCCCTTTTTTATTTCTGTCGTCATTCATTTTGGGAGATCAAGAGACGACAGTAAAGGGAAAGATAAGGAAAAGAGATGTCCTCACCAAATCCCCAAAGGTAGCAAATAATGGGATTTGTAGGTGAGGAAAAGGAATAGAAAAGATGGCCCATCTCTCCCTCCTACCTGTGTATCGAGAGAGCGGGAATGCATGACAGGGAAAGAGAAACAGGTGCCCGCTCGCTTCACTCACTCACCAATGAAGGTTGACCGTGTACTCGCGAATCATTCTCTGAGTTCAACCGCCAGTCAAGGAAGGTCCAACATTCCCATTTCCTTCTTTCCTGCTCTTGGGATTACACCGCCAGGCGAAGATACCAAGGAAGGGAAAGATAGGGAAGGAATGGGATGTGATAGCGAGTTGGCGGTGTGAGCGGTCTTCATTCATTGCCTCTCACTCTCTTCGTTCGTTGTCATCCTTCCTCAGCTTATGAATTAGACCGTGAGGAAATGGTGGGGACAAGTCCCAGAGGTAGGAATGTAAGGCTTGAAGGAACTGTCTCTTTAGGATGTTGATTGCATGGCTTGTCCTTCCTACCTTTCGGTTAAACCGTCTATCTTGGAAGGACGGGGAGTTAATAAGATCCGAAAGTAAAAGCAAAGAAAAGAATAGAAAAAGGAATGTGTGTGAGTGAAGCGAACGGATGGGAGAGAGATAAGGTCCTTCGCTCCACTCTGTCGTCACCAACCATTCCTTCCCTAGCCTCACTCACTCCTTCCTGAGTCTTGGAAAGGCGAGGTGACGAGGTAGGGAGATAAGACCCTTTATAACCTACCAATCAACGTGAGGAACGAAGTGGAAAGGAAAGAAGTGACTCCCGAACGTAGGAAGGAATAGGCTGTTATCTCCCTATCATTCATCCCTTCCTTCTTCCTTGATTGGCGAGACGCCGGAAGAGGTAGGATGAGATGATAAATAGACCTTCAATAACCGCGAGGGAACGCCTCCAACTCTCTTTCTTCTCCAAATTCTAAAATGTAGGTTAAAATCCCAATGAATGAACGGTCACTGACTTCGTTCCCAATCACCGCCTCACGACTCACTGTCAAGTTCTCTCCATTCCATCTTTCCCGGTCGTTTCCTCCCATCATCTCCTTTGCTGAGTCTTGACTGGGGACGGAGTAACCGAAAGGCTCAGAAAGGAAAGTCACTTTATTCCATCTGGATTCATCTTTAGGACTCGCTTTCCTCACTTACAAATCCTTTAACTCCCGAACGTAGAAAGGGAAGGGATCTATGACACACGAATGAACGGGATAACATATCTTCCTTTCTCGTCTATCACTTCATGCCTCTATCCACTACCCACGAGCCAATGAGTGACCAATGAATGACATGGCAAGCCTTACAACCCACTCTTCCTCTCTGCCATTGGCCTTCCCTACATGCCATGGCTACCTCCGGCCGTTACCTTCATCTCAAGACCTTCCAAGAAGCACGAAGGGCGGGGCACGGCCGGGATTAACCACACAATCCAAGAATCGAGAGTTAGAGGAATGTATAATTGCTTTCCTGTCGGGCATTCCCTCCATTCAATCTCAAATATAATCAAAAACCAAGATATAAAGAACAGAGATTAGACCGCACGGAAGGAACATTCATTGGCTACAGCATCCTTCATCTCTGGATTCATGCTTCCATCGCTTCCCAGCGGCTTAAGGAATCTTCGTTCACCACCAATCATTTGGTCGCTACAGCGGGTGAACGAGTCAAGGGAAAGGAAGATATAGTGCCCGCTCTCTTCTCTCGTTCATTCCTTTGTCAAGCCTTTTTCATCTCTCTTCGTTCCTGAGCGACGTTGTCACTTTGACATGATGGAGTTGCAGACATCCCTGCCGAACCCTCGGCGAAAAACCTATACATTGCATGAAGCGCCCATGGAGACATGGCTTGCGGCTGCTTTCACAAGACATGGGTTTAAACATGAAGGAAAAACAAGCTCCTCCGGAGAGTGGCACACCTGGGGAGTTTCACTTGAGCGTTGCCAGACTGGTGCTACCTCCGTAGCCAAGATGGCATGGGCTTCATACCTACCTGGCTGACCTGTTGGAAGGATGCTCAGGTCAAAACAAGCGCCGCAAATGTTGGTGAGTCTGTGACCAGGAAGTGTGGTGTATGGCACGCTCTTGTCTTCAGCCGGCTTGACTGCGGCCTGACTGAAGCTACCTCCGTAGCCAAGATGGCATGGGCTTCATACCTACCTGGCTGACCTGTTGGAAGGATGTTCAGGTCAAAACAAGCGCCGCACATGCGCGTGAGTCAGTAACCAAGAAGTGTGTTGTATGCCACACTCTTGTCTTTAGCCGGCTTGACTGTGGCCTGACTGAAGCTACCTCCGTAGCCAAGATGGCATGGGCTTCATACCTACCTGGCTGACCTGTTGGAAGGATGCTCAGGTCAAAACAAGCGCCACACATGCGCGTGAGTCTGTGACCAGGAAGTGTGGTGTATGGCACGCTCTTGTCTTTAGCGGCATGGGCTTCATACCTACCTCACTGACCTGTTGGAAGGATGCTCAGGTCAAAACAAGCGCCGCACATGTTGGTGAGTCTGTGACCAGGAAGTGTGGTGTCTGTGGCCTGACTGAAGCTACCTCCGTAGCCAAGATGGCATGGGCTTCATACCTACCTGGCTGACCTGTTGGAAGGATGCTCAGGTCAAAACAAGCGCCGCAAATGTTGGTGAGTCTGTGACCAGGAAGTGTGGTGTATGGCACGCTCTTGTCTTCAGCCGGCTTGTCTGTGGCCTGACTGAAGCTACCTCCGTAGCCAAGATGGAAAGGCTTCATACCTACCTGGCTGACCTGTTGGAAGGATGCTCAGGTCAAAACAAGCGCCGCAAATGTTGGTGAGTCTGTGACCAGGAAGTGTGGTGTATGGCACGCTCTTGTCTTCAGCCGGCTTGACTGTGGCCTGACTGAAGCTACCTCCGTAGCCAAGATGGCATGGGCTTCATACCTACCTGGCTGACCTGTTGGAAGGATGCTCAGGTCAAAACAAGCGCCGCACATGTTGGTGAGTCTGTGACCATGAAGTGTGGTGTATGGCACGCTCTTGTCTTCAGCCGGCTTGACTGTCGCCTGACTGAAGCTACCTCCGTAGCCAAGATGGCATGGGCTTCATACCTACCTGGCTGACCTGTTGGAAGGATGCTCAGGTCAAAACAAGCGCCGCAAATGTTGGTGAGTCTGTGACCAGGAAGTGTGGTGTATGGCACGCTCTTGTCTTCAGCCGGCTTGACTGTGGCCTGACTGAAGCTACCTCCGTAGCCAAGATGGCATGGGCTTCATACCTACCTGGCTGACCTGTTGGAAGGATGTTCAGGTCAAAACAAGCGCCGCACATGCTGGTGAGTCTGTGACCAGGAAGTGTGGTGTGTGGCACGCTCTTGTCTTCAGCCAGCTTGACTGTGGCCTGACTGAAGCTACCTCCGTAGCCAAGATGGCATGGGCTTCATACCTACCTGGCTGACCTGTTGGAAGGATGCTCAGGTCAAAACAAGTGCCACACATGCGGGTGAGTCTGTGACCAGGAAGTGTGGTGTATGGCACGCTCTTGTCTTCAGCCGGCTTGTCTGTGGCCTGACTGAAGCTACCTCCGTAGCCAAGATGGCATGGGCTTCATACCTACCTGGCTGACCTGTTGGAAGGATGTTCAGGTCAAAACAAGCGCCGCACATGTTGGCGAGTCTGCGACCAGGAAGTGTGGTGTATGGCACGTTCTTGTCTTTAGCCGGCTTGACTGTGGCCTGACTGAAGCTACCTCCGTAGCCAAGATGGCATGGGCTTCATACCTACCTGGCTGACCTGTTGGAAGGATGCTCAGGTCAAAACAAGCGCCACACATGCGCGTGAGTCCGTGACCAGGAAGTGTGGTGTATGGCACGCTCTTGTCTTTAGCGGCATGGGCTTCATACCTACCTGGCTGACCTGTTGAAAGGATGCTTAGGTCAAAACAAGCGCCGCAAATGTTGGTGAGTCTGTGACCAGGAAGTGTGGTGTATGGCACGCTCTTGTCTTCAGCCGGCTTGACTGTGGCCTGACTGAGGCTACCTCCGTAGCCAAGATGGAAAGGCTTCATACCTACCTGGCTGACCTGTTGGAAGGATGCTCAGGTCAAAACAAGCGCCACACATGTTGGTGAGTCCGTGATCAGGAAGTGTGGTGTATGGCACGCTCTTGTCTTCAGCATGGTTGACTGTTCCCTGACTGAAGCTACCTCCGTAGCCAAGATGGCATGGGCTTCATACCTACCTGGCTGACCTGTTGGAAGGATGTTCAGGTCAAAACAAGCGCCGCACATGCGCGTGAGTCAGTAACCAAGAAGTGTGTTGTATGCCACACTCTTGTCTTTAGCCGGGTTGACTGTGCCCTGACTGAAGCTACCTGCGTAGCCATGGGCTTCATACCTACTTGGTTGACCTGGTGGAAGGATGCTCAGGTCAAAACAAGAGCCGCAAATGTTGGTGTGTCTGTGACCAAGAAGTGTGGTGTATGGCACGCTCTTGTCTTCAGCCGGCTTGACTGTGGCCTGACTGAAGCTACCTCCGTAGCCAAGATGGCATGGGCTTCATACCTACCTGGCTGACCTGTTGGAAGGATGCTCAGGTCAAAACAAGCGCCGCACATGTTGGTGAGTCTGTGACCAGGAAGTGTGGTGTATGGCACGCTCTTGTCTTCAGCCTGGTTGACTGTGGCCTGACTGAAGCTACCTTCGTAGCCAAGATGGCATGGGCTTCATACCTACCTGGCTGACCTGTTGGAAGGATGTTCAGGTCAAAACAAGCGCCACACATGTTGGTGAGTCCGTGATCAGGAAGTGTGGTGTATGGCACGCTCTTGTCTTCAGCATGGTTGACTGTTCCCTGACTGAAGCTACCTCCGTAGCCAAGATGGCATGGGCTTCATACCTACCTGGCTGACCTGTTGGAAGGATGCTCAGGTCAAAACAAGCGCCACACATGTTGGTGAGTCCGTGATCAGGAAGTGTGTTGTATGGCATGCTCTTGTCTTCAGCCGGGTTGACAGTGCCCTGACTGAAGCCTGCGTAGCCATGGGCTTCATACCTACCTGGTCTGTGACCAGGAAGTGTGGCGCGTGCGCGGCAGGCTGTTGTCTTCAGCCGGCTTGACGGTTGACATATTTTGTGACTATAATTTGGCAACTGGAGGCTGTTCTCCACAGATATTGCTGGGGGTGTATTTCCATTTTACAGCTCGTTATGTCATTAGTGAGGCTGACCAGTCTCAGTACTCAGGTCGAACATGACCAACCAGATGCAGATGATGGCCATGATGATGGGGTCCATGGGGTGCGCCTGCCATGCATGTCGGAAGAGAGCCTGTTTATGGCAGGGCACTTTTTTCCTCCGGACAAAATCCTGCAGCTGGTAGGTGATTTGCCAGTATTTACCATAGGGTTTCAGCCATCCCAACTGGCGGAGGAGTTTGTTCATCCACGGGTACCAAGATCGTTGCTTGTGTGAGGGAGTTGAGAAACGCATCCATTTGATGCGAAGCACCATCGTCCAGAGCATGGAGTGACTTTTTGGGAGTACCCACTTTGTAAAGGGGAAAGGGGAGCCCTTTGAGGCAACCACTTCCTCGCCCTAAACCCAAATGTGCAAGAATGGAGTCACTTTTTGAGAGTACCCACTACCCACTTTGTAGAGGGGAAATATGCAAACCATTTCAGGAACATGATGAACATGGGCAACATGGGCATGGGCGGCATGGGCATGTCCGCATCTCAGAGAGCCCACCGAGCTCACCGCCATGGACGCCGCCAAACGGCAAGGCCATTGGTTGTGTTTGTGTGTTTGTTTGTTTTGTTTTGTTTGCGTGTTTGTTTGTTGTATTTTGTTTGTTGGTTGGTTGGCCGGTTGGGTTGGTTTGCGTGTTTGTTTGTTTTGTTTTGTTTGTGTGCTTGTTTGTGTTGTTTTGTTTGTTGGTCGGTTGGTCGGTTGGTTTGGTTTGTGTGTTTGTTGGTTTTGTTTTGTTGGTGTGTTTGTTTTGTTTTGTTTTGTTTGTTTGTTTGTTTTGTTTTGTTTTGTTTTGTTTGATTGTTTGTTTGCTTGTTGGTTGGTTGGTTGGTTGGTTTGGTTTGTGTGTTTGTTGTTTGTTGTTTTTTGTTTGTTTGTTTGTTTGTTTGTTTGTTTGATTGATTGATTGATTGTTTGATGGTTTGTCTGTTTGTTGGTTGGTTGGTTGGTTTGGTTTGTGTGTTTGTTTGTTTTATTTTTATTTTTGTTTTGTTTTGTTTTGTTTTGTTTTGTTTTGTTTGTTTGTTTGTTTGTTTGTTTGTTTGTTTGTTTGTTTGAGTGTGTGTTTGTTGGTCGGTCGGTCGGTCGGTTGGTTTGATTTGTGGGCTCTTTTGCTTGGTGTTTGTTTGATTGTTTGTTGGTTGGTTGGTTGGTTGGTCGGTCGGTTGGTCGGGTTTGTTTTGTTTTGTTTGATTGTTTGTTTGTTTGCTGGTTGGTCGGTCGGTCGGTCGGTCGGTCGGTCGGTTGGTTTGATTTGTTTGCTTGTTTGCTTGTTTGATTGATTGTTGGTTGGTTGGTCGGTCGGTTGGTGGGGTTTGTTTGTTTTGTTTGGTTTGTTTAATTGTTTGTTTGTTTGATTGATTGTTTGATTGTTTGATTATTTGATTTGTTGATTGTTTGTTTGTTGATTAGTTGGTTGGTTGGTCGGTTGGTTTGGTTGGTTTGGTTGGTTTGGTTGGTTTGTTTGTTTCTTTGATTCATTGTTTGTTCGTTGGTCGGTTGGTCGGTCGGTTGGTTGGTTGGATTGGTTTGTTTGATTGTTTGTTTGTTTGGTCGGTCAGTCGGTTGGCTGGTTGTTTGTTTGTTTGGTTTGTTTGTTGGTTGGTTAATTGTTTGGTTAGGATGTTTGTTTGTTTGTTTGTTTGTTTGTTTGTTTGTTTGTTTGTGTTTGTGCTTGTGCGCGCGTTTTCTTGTCCCTTTGCGTGAGTGTGAGCCATTAGTTTGTTCCGTGGGCGTTTGAATGCATCTGCCACAAGATGCCACACCTAGAGTCAATACCTTCCTTGCGCAAGGGAAGATCACAGGTTTAAGAAGAGGACTTGCTCTTGAAACCACTGCGTCTTCCATTGTTGTGGAAACAATACCATCGATTCCATACATAGGGCTTTTGCGTCAAGATGGAAGCAACAAGCAACCCTTGGGTTACTCGGCGTCTTTTATCCCTCTTTTCAACATGGCATTTCTTCAACCAAAGCCATTGCGTTTGCACTACAAATTGCCCCACCTGCAGTTGCAGACGCAAAGGCCGTCCATGGTCAGTACTGCTTGCACTTTGTTGCTCCTCTCGACTTAGATGAGCCGCAATCAACACCCGGGTAGATGAAGGTTCGCAAGGGACAATCCCAGCCAAAATGGGTGCAGCCGCAAGTTACATGGTTCTGGGTAGACCATTTTTAAAAGAGGTTTTGCCTATGACTCAGATGTTTTTTCCGCCTCAGGAAGACCAAACTATCAAATGACAAATCCTATTTTGCGGCTCCTTGCCCGTCTATCGCAGCCTAACCGGGCCAAAAAATGCCGGCGCAAAATCGGCTCTGAGGCCGAACATGGGCGCGGGAATGCCCTCAATGCATTTGTGCCTTGGAATGGAAGCCGTCGGATCTCCGCAGATCTCGGAGTTCCAATAGAACTCGGACTCCTTTTTTGAACGGCGAAACCAAAAGCAAACCACCTGACTGGAGGGGTCCCCAATTTTGAGCAACCCCCACTTAGTGGACGGGAACCATGGCAGGGAGAGCCGGTTTCTCCCCTCGAATTGGGTGGGGTGCTCGCATGAGTCTGTGCAGATGTGGGCTTTTGCCTGGCCACGATCTGTAATACCCGGCACAAAATGACACCAGGGTCCAACCAAAAGCGCCCCTTGCTTATCCTTTGATCAAAATGAAAAAGGCCCGGTGAACCGCGTGCGTCGTTTCTTCGGTTGCTTTCTGCAAGTTGAAGCTGGGGGGGGTGCATCAAGCTGCTTGGGGGGCTGGGGGCTGGGGGTGTCCAAGGCCTGGGCAGGCAGGGCTCGAGCCGTGGACTTTGAACCGATTTTTCTCGAAGGGACTCGCTCGCTCATTTTTTGTTCCAGGCCCGCAGGCTGTTGCTTTTGGATCTCGCCTTCTGATTTTCGCCCAGAAAAGGAGATTGGGGGCCGGAAGAAAAGGGCCAGTCGTAACTTGCAACGTTCGGCTGAAACCGGTTTGGACCGTCCAAAGAAGGGACACGGAAGGACAGGCCCCTGCCGCCTGCAGTGGCGTACAACCGGGGTGTATACGTGGCTGATTGGGAGCCGCTTCGCAGGTCACACAAGAGAAAAGAGCTCAGAAGGGCTGCAAGTTTGGGACCACAAACTTGTGTCCAAGCCCAAAATTGTTTCACCTGGAATCTGTGGTTGGTTCGACCTTCGAAGTATGGAGTCGGGCTTTCAACTCCGGACTTGGTACTTCTACCCCCGCCGCACTGCGGGAAACCGCGCAGGCCGTGGCAAAGGGCCAAAACCTCCAAGGCGCGGGATTTGGTCACTTCGCCATATGGTCCTTGAGGAAACTCGCCCAAACCAGCCCGCAATGTCAGGTTCCAGAATAGTGGAGGGTACTTGACGTGTTTTTTTCGTGTGTGCCCAAAAATGTGGATAGTTAGGGGAAAACAGGCAACCAAGCTGAAGTGCCTAACTTTGAGAAGCACCGTTTCACAAGCATAGGACCCTTTCACTGGGGGTAAAGGGAGGGTCATGGTAAAGGGAGAGTCATGGCCCCCTAAA